TACAATCTCATTTAAATCAGATCTTCGTTCTCGCCACTGCTAAACACTGATATCAGGACATCCCTTTATGTGTCATGTCAGAACGACCTTTTGTCCAGCCAATGATGTCTTCCCTTGCAAGTGACAGTCAGAATGTGTTTTCTGATCAAGAGAAGCTCAGCATGGGATATTCTGAACGGCAGTTATTGGCTGTACATCTATCACTTGCTTCAATGGGATAAATATTCAAGCGGCAGGTTTTCGATAGGCCATGGTAAGCACTGTCATACAATTTCAGCCATCAGTCAGATATTCTAGAATGTTTATTTGTTCAGTTTTCAAAGTTTAAATCCATTTTTCCAAGTGTATCCCCGAATTAAATTCATGGATTGAAACATACACAACAAAGCTTGATGAAGCTGCTTTCTGATTGGATAATGCTGACTTCTTGTCAGCCAGTTCACTCAGCCCTGGTCGGTCAAATTTTGTGAAAGTTTCTTTATTTTTTACATGTTCTGTAAAGGGTTGTCCTCAGATCGCACTCAGTAACATTCCAGCATAATGGCAGGGATCTGTAAATATTGGAGTCTGGACCAGACAATCCAGTGATCAACAGCATGAGCATCAATCTGCGCAATTGGTATAAGATGACATGTGTCAACCAAGTCAGTGAGTCTGACCCCCCAATCCTGTAGATCGCCTCTTATGACAAGCATGGGTTGCTGAAGATCAATTCTATCCCAGATCTTCACAGATACTTTGTTTAGTAGTAGCATGGACTAGGATCTAAGTTTAATGAGATTGTAATTGTTACAGTATGTATTTCTTATTGCCACAGAAGAGACCAAATGGCTTGGCTGGTCAGGAGGCTTAGCGATTTGGTTGTTTGTGTGTCATTGTGCTTTGACTTCATCAGATTTGCTCGGATTTGATTGTCTTGGTCGGATTTGGTGTCGGCTTGCTGATGCCATTAGCTGGAATATTGCTGGATGTCGTATGAAGCAATCAAACAATTAGAACCATTGAGTGAAAATCTGGTTTGGAGCAGCAAGGATTTAAAAAGCATAAAACACTGCCACAGGCTAATTTTCATATCAAGTGAGCGGATGTTTCTCTTGTTTGAAAGAAACTTGCTCCTTGCAACCTTGCCCCTTTCCACACTGTCCCTCTGTCCCCATGCCATTGCTCCCCTATTCCTCCCCCCTCCTGTCTGTTCTACTGTTCCCCTTGCCCCCTTGCCCCTTGTTCTGGTACTCTCCTAATCCCTTGTGTCCTTGCACTCCTGCTCTACTGTTCCCCTTGCCTCCTTGCCCCTTGCCCCTTGTTCTGGTACTTTCCTCTAATCCCTTGTGTCCTTGCTTTCCTGCCCCTGCCCCTTGCACTTCTGCTCTACTGTTCCCCTTGCCTCCTTGCCCCTTGCCCCATGTTCTGGTACTTTCCTAATCCCTTGTGTCCTTGCTTTCCTGCCCCTACCCCTTGCACTCCTGCTCTACTGACCCCCTGCTTCCCCACCCCCACCCTGCCTCCTGGCCCCACCTGCCCCCTGTCTCTGGAGTGTCTGATGTAGAGATCTGCCAATGTATTGACCCACTGAAAAAAGCGTGCATTTAATGGTATTCATACCAAACTTTGCTGGAGTAAAATACAGCTTCATACGATGACTCAATTGATCACATGGCTGTGAATGTGTAAATACATTTGGGTGATTCAAGGCTTACTAACATTGGAGACTGTATTCGTATATTGATGGGCCACTTCGGATGAAGGACCGCGGCTGTGTTGTTGCTAAAATATTGGTGTTCCATTGCTGAAATGTTGTGTTTCTTGCTGAAATATGACAATGCTATTTCTGCAACATTGCCATCAAATTGGTGACGTTGCTTTTTTTAGAGATCGATATATTGCTGCCATTACTCCCCATTTACTGGAATAGGGAATTTGTTGACACAGGTGGCACCTTGCTGTTTTTCCCTTACATTAACTTATTGCTATCTAATTATTGACAGTGTTGAGAAAGTAATATCCTGTCATTTCTGTCACATTGTGGACATTTTGTTACTGACATATACAATAATGATCCAAATTGCTCAATTGAGAAAGTGGGATTGTGCTACATGTATGGACCTTAGAAGATCCGGCTTATACCCCCTTTACACTTGAGGCAGAATGAGCCAGAATGCTGTTGGAATGAAAATTCCTGGAGATTCCTGGAAAATCAAACTGCATTCTAAAACTTCTTACTGCATTCCGAATGCATTCCAACTATTCGGGTCAATTCTTGTGATGTGCCCGAATGTTTTGAACATGTTCAAAACCTTCCAGGTACATTCGAAGTGGAATAATTCGAACAGCATTTGAAGTGCATTCTACGTGCATTCTAAGTATTCTTACTGCATTCTAACGGCATTCTAAGTGTTTTTACTGCATTCTAAGTATTCTGAACGTATTTGAGGGAGAATGGAAAAGGCAAGCCACTTCAAATCTTCAGAATGTCCCGAATGCTCCTCGAATGAATCGGAATGTATCTCAGTTGCTGCTGGAATTCAGGTGGAATATTCTTCCAATGTATTGGAATATTTCGATTGCAGTTGGAATACAACTCGAATGTACCTTGAATACACCTCAAATACAGTCAGAACGTCCCGAATGCTCTTTAAATGAGCTCTGACATCATCAGAACACCACCGAATCACATAAACATGTGGCCACCTGTAACTGAAACGTCAGATAGCATTTGGGAGTCGCATTCTTACAAAACTTGAAAAAAATGTTTATTTTGACATTCACTCCCGAATGCGGTTCAAATTTTGGAGAAAAAATTGTATGGCTGATTCTCCTTGATTCCTGTCAATTCAAAATAAGTGTGAAGGAGCCTTTGGAGCTGGTATTCAGCAACCTCAGTGAGTGAGTGAGTGAGTTTTAGTTTTATGCTGCACTCAGCAATATTCCAGCTATATGGCGGCGGTTTGTAAATAATCGAGTCTGGACCAGACAATCCAGTGATCAACAGCATGAGCATCGATCTGTGCAATTGGGAACCAATGAAATGTGTCAACCAAGTCAGCGAGCCTGACCACCCAAACCCTTTAGTCGCCTCTTATGACCGGCATGGGTTACTGAAGGTTCAATCTAACCCGGGTCGTGCTCATCAGAAGAGGTGACTAACTGACTCGCTGACTTGGTGGTTGTCATCGTCTCCAAAATGATGGTTATGATATCAATCACTGGATTGTTTAGTCCTGATTTCCCTGTATACAGCCAGCAGTCATATAGCTGCATCACAAACAGACGTAACGCACACACACACACACATGAAAACTGAGACTACACAATTCAACATGCCAAGCATCAAGCACAACAATACAAGCAACTCAACACAATGTATTAATTTCTTTCATGCTAACGGCAACACAAGCCTGGTGGGGGTCATCTGGTAAACATGTACCACTAGTTAATTGCGAAATAGATTAATCACCTCCTTTCATGTGTATGAGTATGCTGTTTACACAAGTGACAAGCCCAGCCTTATATATTTCATTAGCAGCAATATGTACGGTTGTGCTTGGAGGTAAGACTGACTGTCCGTCTCGGTCCCTCGTTATTTGTTATATTGATGAGTTTCCATCTAGCGCTCTCACACTCAATCTCTGACAATTACCTCCATGGATTAAACAAGCTGTGGAGCACAGATGTTATTCACGGACACATTAATTACACAGACATTTTGTTGACTTTGGCCATTTTAAAATATTTCCTCTTTTTTTGTTTCAACTCTTGTATCATGATGTGGTACCAATTATATATCATACGATGTACGTTTTGTTGGATGATAACTTCATTTAAAGTGCAGAATAAACACTGGAGACTGGAGTTAATTTCAGTTGTCAATTTCTGTTGTCAATTTCTTCTGTTGTCAATTTCAGTTGTCAATTTCTGTTGTCAATTTCAGTTGTCAATTTCTGTTGTGAGTATGCAGTGATGTTTTGCGGATTTCATCTTATTAGGAATGTGTTTCGTCATATTTCTTGTGTTCTCGAGCACAGAACGTCGTACGCCCAGCTCTGGTGTTGTGCTCCTTAATGTTTGATTTCCCATTGTGAGAGGATACATGAATAGTCTGTAGTGTTTGTTCGTCGTCTGAATCAAGGTTTGTGAATGAAGGTTATCTGTGGACAGGTCACTATACAGGACATCGGTCATTGGCCTGATGTCTGTTTTTTAACCACCACCTTGCTAAAGCATTTTTATCCCCCACCGTGCTCAGTCACTCATGAAGATCCAGGTTAGAATTGATCTTCAATAACCCATGCCTATCATAAGAGGTGAATAACAGGATCGGGTGGTCAGGCTCGCTGACTTGGTTGACACATGTCATCGTATACCAATTGCATAGGTCGATGCTCATGCTGTTGATCACTGGATTGTCTTGTCCAGAGTCGATTATTTACAGACCGCCGCTATATAGCTAGAATATTGTTGAGTGCAATCTGAAGACAACCCATTACATATCATGTAAAAAAAAATGAAACTTTGATCGACCGACCATTAGCCAATCAGGAAGCAGCTTAATCAAGCTTTGCTGTGCATGTTTCAATTGGCAACTTTAATTCGGGGATGCACTTTTAAAACTGATTCAAACTTTGAAAATTGAACAAAAGAAAAAAGCGGTGTAAAAGTAAACTCACTCACTCACTTGTAAGCTGTCCGTCAACACTCATCTGTCAAGATGTTCTCTTCAGATTCCTTGTAACAGAGTTGTGGTTGTATATCTGTTTGGTCAACCATCCATAACATATGCCACTGCTGTATGACATATTCTTAATTTCTTCCGCAAAGTTGTTTTTATGCACTTGTGAGGAAGTTCTCTGCCCCTTTGAACTTACAGGAATCGATCATGATGAGGAACACAAAGAATTGTACTCCAGCACCTAGGAATTGAAAAAAGACTTTGATGTGACGAGCAATTTATTTAACTTCTACACCACCCACACCGTGTCACCTATTGTGAAAAACACATACGATCACATTGGCTGCTTTGACTTGCGTACACCTGTCCTCTCCTTCAAGGAGGAGAGAGCTGTTCCGTAGACAGGAACCATTCCAGGCACAGGGACCTGGAGAGAGGAACCATTCAGGCGATCGGGATCTTGGAGAAAAGAATATTCAGGGGACTGGGGTCTTGTAGAAAGGAACCATTCAGGGGATCGTGGTCCTGGAGAAAGGAACCATTTGGTTGATTGTGGTCCTGGAATAAGGAACCAGTCATGAGATCAGGGTCATCAGCCAGATATGGTCATACTGTAAGGATTGTGTGGTCAGGCTCTGTGTGTTTGTTGAGTGAATGTGTCTGTGCCATGACAGGATGAGACATGCTCATGATATCAATCATTAGTTTGCTCAGACCAGACGGGATTATTTACAGGCACATAAATGGAATATTGCACAATGTATTGCAATCAAAATTAAAAGAACAACAATGGACATGTTACTCTATGTGGATGCTGAAATAGAAATTATGAATGGCTGTTTTACTGATATAATAAACCGTTAAAATAGAACAGGTGAGCTTCAGTGTTACACTGCCATCAGAAAGTATTTTTATTTGTTGTTTAACACCGCACTCAGTAATATTACAGCTACATGGCTGCTTCCTGATTGGCTAATGGTCGGTCGATCAAAGTTTCTTTTTTTTTTTGCATGATATGTAATGGGTTGTCCTCTGATTGCACTCAGTAATATTCTAGCTATATGGCAGCGGTCTGTAAATAATTGATTCTGGACCAAACAATCCAGTGATCAACAGCATGAGCATCGATCTATGCAATTGGTATACGATGACATGTGTCAACCAAGTCAGCGAGTCTGACCACCCGATCCCATTAGTCGCCTTTTACAACAAGCATGGGTTACTGAAGGTCAATTCTAACCAGATCCATGGGTTAGAAAGTAATACCACGCTTAAGAACAATTAATCATAGATTACCCATAGAAACTGGAAGATGGACTAGCATTGTTAGATCTGACTGACAATGTACATTATGTAATGAAGTATTGGGTGACGAATACCACTTCCTTTTAACATGCAACCTGGTCTAGCAACCCTACGAAAAAATATCTACCTTACTTGTTTTCTAATCATCCCTCAATAGATAAGTTCACCTCAATTATGAAACCAATTTATAAACCACTTACTTTGAAATTAGCCAAATATATCAAGGAAGGTTTATGTTTGTACAAATGAACTCTATCATGTACATTACAGTAACTTTTTAATTTTGCCATGTTGACCGCGTCATACCAAAAGACGTTAAAATATGGTACTTGTTGGTCCCTGCCTGGTGTTCGGCATTAATGGGTACAACAAGGACTGGTTGGCTCGGAGTCAGTATAATGTGTCTGAGTGGGGTATTCATGCTTCACTGCAGCATGGTATCTCAGTGGGCTAGCACTATAAAACCAGCTTAAGTCTGGGCTAGTACAAGCAGCCGCACATGCAAGCATGCACGTCGTCATATGAGCGAAATATTCTCAAGCACGACATTAAACCTAATTTCACCTTCACCTCACTTTTGGCATGTATAAGCTCATACTGTTCACAGTGTAAATGGGGCGGTGGGGTCACCTAGTGGTTAAAGCATTTGTTGTCAAGCTGAAGACCCGGTTCAATTCCCCACATGGGTACAATGTGTGAAGCCCATTTCTGGTGTCCCCTGCTGTGATATTGCTGGAATATTGCTAAAACCATCCTCACTCAATCACTCACTCACTCGTAAGTTATCTGCATGTTCTCTGTGCCACAATATATGATTTATGAGAACAAACTTCTTATTCGAAAGCAATGCCACGCTTGTATTCCCATAAAGTGTGCAGCAATTTCTACATTTGTCAAGCCATGAATAGTTAATGGCAAGCTGACATAACCACTGCTGACAATGAAGTAACTGCTTGCATTCAAGCATTGGTCTATTTCACTGTGTTCCATTGACTGTAATGGTGATTAGTGCAATGTACACCAATAGATTTCATTGTGGCTGGCCTCTATTGCAGTCATTCAGGAAGACTTGTGAGGTACTGATAATCATGAATATCCCACTGATATTAAGAATAATAATGTCGGAGATTTGTTCCGAAACTGAAAAGGAAATGATTGGGTATTGTCATGAGAACAAATATATGAGAATTTGATGAAAATTGAAAAGAAAGTATTAATGTGATTGGATATTGTGGAAGAAGTAGAGTCATTGTGTAAGAGCATTAGTTCCTGGGAAATCTATATTTGTAACTCTGGTGGGTTTTTCTTCTAAGTGGAATTGCTGTTGAGGAAGATTAGGCCGAATTGCGAACTTCCGAGTTATTAAGTTTAAGTCAATATAGAGACCGGATTATTTGTTTGGAAAGTGAATCATCTTAGCTTTATAAGTAGCATCATTTTAAAAGAAAAATACAATAAAGAGAAAGCAGAATGTAAGGATTGCTTAGATAAATAGGGAGTGTTGAACGTGACCATTTCAAAACATAGTTTGTGTTTGATTGTGTTTATACCAACTGATTCAGGTTTTCGTCTTGAGTTTGGAACTGAGCTGTGGCTAGAAGTGGATCTGATTAAGAAGGAATTAGATATGAATTTGAAGGTTTATTTCAGCGATGTAAGGAATGCTGTTCCTGAAGCTACTACAGCCTCTCCATGGTCTCTCTTCCAAGGAGATGATTGGTTGGTTTGTTGTTTTACTCTGCACTCAGCAATATTCCGGTCGGTGGGGTAGCCTAGTGGTTAAAGCGTTCGCTCGTCACGCCGAAGACCCGGGTTCGATTCCCCACATGGGTACAATGTGTGAAGCCAATTTCTGGTGTCCCCCTCCGTGATATTGCTGGAGTATTGCTAAAAAGCAGCGTAAAACCATACTCACTCACTCACTCAGCAATATTCCAGCTATATGGCAGCAGTCTGTAAATAATCAAGTTTGGACCAGACAATCCAGTGATTTAAAACATGAGCATAGATCTATGCAGTAGGGATAAAATTGAGACCTGTTTGTCTTTTGTTGTATCCTGGTAGTAATCATCGCTCATCTGGACAATTGACCAGTGGTTTGCCTGATCCAGGATTGAAACCTGGATTGATTGCACTGGCATGTTGCAAAGCATGTTGCAAAACATTGTCATTCATGTGTAATGAAGCATTGGTGGCCCAGTCATTTAAGTCCCCACAAATTGGATGTGTCCATGGTTATGGGTTTAAATCCTGATTTGCCTAGATAATATCTGCAGGTCTGTCTGCACCACAACCTAATGTGATAAACATTTAGGACCAGGCCCCCGTTTCACAAAGCTATCGTAGCGCTATGACTGCCGTAAGTTTATGTTACAGTATAGGAGGTAACACAGTCGTAGCGCTACGACTGCCGTAAGTTTATGTTACAGTATAGGAGGTAGGACAGTCGTAGCGCTACGATAGCTTTGTGAAACAGGGGCCTGCATCACTTCAGCCTTTCTAGGGGCTGTGGGTAGTCCAGTGGTTAAAGCAGTTTCTCAGCACGCCAAAGATCTGGCTTTGATTTCCTGCATGGCTAGAATGTGTGACACCTATTTCTGGTGTACTCCACCATGATGTTGCTGGAATATTGCTAAAATCGGCGTAAAACTATACTCACTCAGTCAGGGTTTCTTCCTTCATCAAGTTGTCATGCTTACATTTGACTGGAATCCTATTCAAATAAAAACTAAGCACACTCACTCAATGACTGAATTTCAACCTTTGCAACAATTAGATAATTTTAAAACAGACACTTCAAAATCAAGACATGGTTGTTACAATGTGTACAATCAAATGTTTGCAGTTCATGGTACAGTTTCTATGGCAACAGAATACAAGTTTGCAGAAGAAAGTTTGATCGCTTTGTATTTTAATGAGCTGTCATGAGCTGCATCAGTTATCTGTATAGATATTAGGTCATTAAACACTGATCAGCTATACATCTATAGTGTTTAGTTAGTATTACACAATGCCATTTAGAAAGTGGTCAAATGTAACATATTGTTGCAGTGCACTGGCACGGAACAACACTACAATATGTTATATTTGGGATTACACTTTCTTAGTAAAGTACAAATTCTAGTACTTTTTTTAGTTGAACCCCATCCGGGATTCGAACTGTTCAAATCCCGGATGGGGCTCAACTAAAAAAAGTACTAGAATTTGTATTTTACTAAGAAAGTGTAATCCCAAATATAACATATGTTGTATAGTTATTACTGAAATTTCTTGTTTGCCAATTTTTTGGTTTGCCAATTTTATTGTTCGCCAAGTGTCATGTATGTCTAAAGAACATTGTAAACGACCTACTTTAACTTTGTTGGTCCAGACGAAAATATTGCTGGGGTGATTGAACCCTCAAACTATCTGTGTTATGCACATGGAATTAGGGCAATAGGGCCCCTTTTGAAGGAGCCACTGACTATGTTATCACTAAAAGAGATTTATATTTTCATATTTTTACACTCCTGCCCGCACATGTTTTTCAGATAGCAATCTGTAAGTCAAGTAATGAAAGTGGCTCGGACTAAGAAAAACTCACTGATGGATAGAAAAGCACCAGTAGAGCCAGTAGAAAGTCGGTGGGAATCTAGGCCAGAACACCTGTCTCTGTGTTTGTTATAAAATTTACAATTCAATTTAATATTCCACATGGTCAGTTCGTGCTGTAATGGTCAGTAGTGAGGCCATTGACGGTGTGGGGCGATGGGGTAGCCTAGTGGTTAAACCAGATCTATTTAGCTGCCACTTATTATAATGCAAGTATATGTTTCTAGGTAACCTTCTATTCCACCTCGGGGCAGTGGGGTATCCTAGTGGTTAAACCAGATCTATTTAGCTGTCGCTTAATGCAAGTATATGTTTCTAGGTAACCTTCTATTCCACCTCGGGGCGGTGGGGTATCCTAGTGGTTAAACCAGATCTATTTAGCTGTCGCTTAATGCAAGTATATGTTTCTAGGTAACCTTCTATTCTACCTCGGGGCGGTGGGGTATCCTAGTGGTTAAACCAGATCTATTTAGCTGTCGCTTAATGCAAGTATATGTTTCTAGGTAACCTATTCTACCTCGGGTCGGTGGGGTATCCTAGTGGTGAAACCAGATCTATTTAGCTGTCGATTAATGCAAGTATATGTTTCTAGGTAACCTGCTATTCTACCTCAGATGAGGGGCGATGGGGTATCCTAGTGGTTAAACCAGATCTATTTAGCT